TAGTTGAAAATTTTATTTTTATTTTTTAAAGTAATAAAAATGTTTCAAATTTCCCATTTTCCTCAACTATGCACATATATGTATGTCCCATTGTACCACGGAGATTATAATAGGCAAATTCTCTGATCTCCATGGTCGTAAGAGATAGATAAAAGAATATGCAATTCCATGTAAAATCGGGCTCTCGTTATAACAAGTTTCATCCAATAAAGGAGTATTGTTATGGACTGTGATACCATCAGAGCCTATCTCTAAATTAGTTTTGTTCCGGAAGTGCTGTTCCCTGTTGGAACAATTTGAGTAACTAAGGTTTTTAGTTGGGAAAAAAAGTTAGTGTCACGAGCGGGATTCAAACCCATGACCTTCGGCTAGATACGTCTACCACTTATCGGCGTACCTAGCCGAAGGTCGTGAGTTCGAATCACACTCGTGACCCTGACTTTTTTATCTCAACTAAAAACCTTAATTAATTGGTCAAGCGGACGACGAAAACTAGTAAAATTGTGTAACGTTAAACCTGGCAGTATATATCTCATTAAATTAAAGTTACAATAATCTACATTACTGATTAAATCCCAACTGACAGTTCGTTTCTTTTTGCGAAGTGAATTGGGGAAAGTGCTTTGAGCTCTCGTCTGCATGAATGTAGTGGGAGACTTTCCCGTCCAATAATTGCCACGTCCAACTAGTGAAACCAAATGAATCTTCATTGAATAGTTGTACAGTCCAAATTTAACCTCATCAAGAACTCAATCAAGAAGAAGAAGAAGAAGTTAAGAATAATATAAAGCTTTGTCCTTTGAAGACCTTATTTGGATAATTGATCGAGATGAACATGAAATCGATTGGATAAGTTTGGGGTTGTAGACAGCAAGTACCACAGTAGGCGAGGCATTAAACAACCGGCGACCGCATTTCCACCTCCAAGAGCGCCCTCAAACCGCAGCGTGCTATTAAAGCTAATATTAATTACAAACTCGACATTGTGATAACAGTTATCAATTTGATCGCAAGACTTGTTTGGGCAATACCTTTTCTCCAAAGGTGTGAAATGGCAAAATTATCCCACAAGAAACCTCCATGTGGTTCAATATATGTTATTTTATTTATATTCCGGCTGAAAAATATATAATTTTAAAAAATCTGTTTAAGATGAAATAATTATTGCACTTATCAAAACTTAGCGTCCGCAGAAGGTTTCGGAATGCAAATTTAGAAATATTCATCATCTAAATCAAAATAAGTGGTCTCTTCTCTACAGTAAACGAAATCGGAATAGTTAGAGTTGTGCCTTATTTTTTTTATTTTTTATTTTTCGACCGGCTAACTACTAGGATCATTGCCGGCACATCACGAATATAAGCTTCTCGCATTTTTCTTTGTTTCACTTCAACTTTATCTCTATCTCATTCACTATATCTCTTCTTTTAATTTTATTTCCTTCCGACCAAACAGAGGAGTGTCGTGTTGCTCGTTCCTACCATCCCACACGTGGTTTGTTAAAAATATTTACAGACTCACTAACAATACCCACTCACGCTAAGAAAATGATTACCTAATCTACAGTTGGCAGGGATCAGAGTACAGGTGCACGACTGAGGTCCTGCCCCTACAACTAAATAAAAACTCGGTAGGATAGTCATAATCCTACCAACTTCCTTCCATTCGTGCTGAAAAATACATTCATACAGTATGTAAACAATTTCATTCATCCATTAAACTAATTTCCTTTTGACGGGCTTGTGGAGTACTCAATATTCCTCGACATCCACGTCCATTTACACAAAACATTCACGCTAATAAATACATTCATATTGGAGAGGTCGCAGCATCTCGGTAGTATTACTACAACCTTGAAAGCGGTGACCTGTCCCTCACATCTAATTTGGCGGGCCTGTGTGCTACTCGATATTCAGTCACAGCTACATCCAGACATACCTCATCACCCACGCTAATAAATACATTCACACTGCAACATGAAGATATACTACGTATGGTTGGCTTTAAGTATCCATACGCATTTATCAATTTTAAGTACCTAATAAGATTAATTTTGAAGTCACTGTTATGCTTAAGAACTATTTCCAGATTAGATGGTAGTTTACACCGTTCTCGGTACTCTCTTAACTTATTACTTTCCTCTAATAGGTGTCTCACCGTTACCGGGTTTCCACAGAGTGGACAGCGTTTTGGACTTCTACCCACTAAGAGGTGACCGTGCGTGAGACGGGTGTGACCTATTCGCAACCTTGTTAATATTATTTTGTTACGTTTTTCCAAATTCTCCACGGGCCTTGGCCTCACCGTACTTTTATGTATTTTTAGTTTTTCATTACTTTCGTTCCAGCGAGCCTGCCATTTACAATAAATCGAATTTTTCATTTTTGTTTTTAGATCCATGGGGCTAATGGGGGATTCGGGGTCATGTCTGCTTCTTCATTTCCCCGAAGTCGGACAAGGCCCGGGACCCAGGCGAACACAATTACACAATCACGATATTCAGTTCGCCAACCTGTTCAAATATCTTTTCTATTAGTGGGTCCGTGGAGAACTTGTTCTTTAGTTAGTTGTGCCTTATTCCTTACATAACTATTCCATGGACAAGAAACATAAAAATTGTATTCTGCAATTGGCTCTTATATTTGAACAAATTATCCGAAAATTATGCATTACGTATGCATTAAGTAAGGCGGCGGAAAAATCCAATTAATTTCGTCTTTATTTCTTATTGTAGTGCCTATATTTGGATAGGTTCATTGTTATAATAAATAATAAAAAATGGTTTGTTTAGAAAGTGCTCTCACTTCAATTTTTATAATCGTAATCATTACTACAACTTAATTAAATTATCATTGGTTACTACAGAACATGTTATCAGCTGGGTTTCAAGCCCTCAATGCCTGCATTACGTTCGTAATTAGTAGAAGTAATAATAAATCATCTAAAAGCCATAACATATTAAAGTAATGAAACGGATGATATATAAAAACCAAGAAAGAAAATAGTCAATTGTATTATTAATTATTCTACCTTAATTTTTAATCACTATATAAAATAATAATATATATTAACTCTAATGGTACATTATAAATAACTGGCCTCAATTAGTTTAGAGAGGAAAAGTACTTATTGGCTTAAGGGTTGCTAGCTATAAATTGTGTAGAAATTCTGGACTTTTAGACTTCTGGGAAATCATAAATCTTTTATTCACTCACCCAATGATTCAAGAAACCCAGAACCGAGATACATTTCTAACTCAATAATAAATATTGGATATAATTTAGGGTTGATTTAGTTATGACGGTTTAGAATTATATGATTTAACAAAACCACACACAATTGACTAGAATTACGTTTTGACGCTTCATTACAAATCTCTCATTGTAACGAACTGGTTTCTGCATGTTCTTTTTACAACCATCATTTTATATGTACTAGCATACTATACATGAATAAATATATTCACATATACTTTATAAAATTATTAAAAGCTACAATGTTTTATAATCTCAATTATAAACAGTAGTTGTTAAACAATCGATCTTTCAAATTGAGAATGCTTAATAAAATCTTAATTTATATGGTACAAACCTGGTGGTATCATTTGTACGATTATTTAATTTAGGATATTTAGTATCAGCGTGGTGTTCAGTCAGCTGAGAGATATCTATCCATTGCCGATCGTTCGGTCTTTATTTGACCTTCCTAAGGTGTATTGTGTTGTCATCAAAAGTAGACCTTCAAATATTATTATCCATTGACCATTGATTGTCTCAGATTATTTCTTAGCACCGACGAATGCCTCATGTGGCCGAGAGCTTGGCGAAGGAATAAAATGTTTCCCAGCAGACAGATCAAAACCCACAAAAACACACAAACAATACACTCCCCATTCTAAATAGACCAAATGGCTTGTCAATAACAATATCTACGTCATCGGATTTCTGGGTTGCCACTATTTTTATATTCAAACAGATAAAATTTTAGAATCGCAAAATTAGTTGCGCAGATGGACTGATATTAATAATGTAAATGGTAATTTGGCAGAACAATTTAGTCAGAAGTGCACTTTATCATTAAATATGTATAAACGGCCGTGATGTAATAATCAGGTTTGATTTAGCCCAGATGGAGAGAGACTGGTCCATAATTTATTTCATTCGTATGATTGGAGAATGTCTGGAATTCGAAGGGCCTCAACACATATTGAATTCGAAGAGGGCCGTGGGGCTGCGTGCAAAGAATTCTCCTTCAAAATTTGTCTGTTTGTCCGTCGGCATAATTGAATTTCCAGAATTTATATNCTTATATATATATAGTCACATTTGTTTTTATTCAAATAAGAATGATTTGATTGTGCTCAAGAGTTAATACTTCCTGTCGTTTATTAAATCAATTATTCATTATATTTTGGGTTCTTTCAAACGTAATATCAATTTCTGTCGTCATTTTATGTTGACACATGAAGTTCTACTTCAAAAATGATGCTGTCGATGTATTATCTTAACATCAAATTAAAACGTATTTTACACCAGGGAGTTATTTTTTCCTATTTATTACCTATCAATGATAATGCTTTAATTTATATTAAAAGGTTTTCTTTTCCATGCATCACTATTATAGTTATAAAAAGGTTAAACAATCAAATATATAAGTTATTATAGACTTATTATAATGTCAGTGATAGCAAGTGAGAATTTGGCAAACGAATGGAAAATGGAAATGCAACTAGGGAAATCAATAGCCTAATAATTCTTGGAAGAAGGCTCGTTCCACTGAACTAGTGATCTGGGAACTAGGAAGGTACAACAAGCTAGAAGGCGGCAGTGCTTGTAGGGCAGAAATGCCCACTTTCTAGATTCGTTACCATCATCATCATCATAGTATGTCGTTCGTATTTATATTATTGGAATTGCGGGGGGGTATTGTTGTATAGGTCCGATTTCCTAGAATGAAATTGATATTCCACAGCCTTTCAAACATTAATATTATTACCCTACCTGCTGGTGCGTATATGTTGAGATAGAGGCAGTCTTCGCTCTGATTCTTGAGGTAGGGCAGGAGTCGTTTGAGGTACTCGAGTCGGCCGCGAGGCATCCTCCGGAGGGCTGCCGTCTCGTTGCCGATATCTGGCAGAAGCTGGGGGCAGACAGGCCCGAATTTGTCGGCCACTTTCACCCCGGTCCAGATGGCACCGGTCACTGGGGGCATGAACCTGAGCGACCCGGTCGGCGGTGATGCGTACGGTACCCCTTTGAACACCTCGACCGCACCTAGATGACGGGAATCCGGCGTCACCATTACCCCGCTTATTTCCCCGTACTTGGTTCGGATCGTCCTTGTGGCCGAGACCGCCAAAAGGAGGGCTACCACGCACCACAAACCTCCCCAGAACATGCTTGTCATCCGCCCATCTGTAACAAATAAAATCAATTTTCAATACAAAAATGAAAAACTTTTGTAATAAGAACTATTTTTTAACATTCCATCTATATTATATTATATATCTAATATTATATATCTATATTATATATCTTATAATAAAAAATATCAAGGATAATGCCAATTGGCTGACAATACTCATTTCTTCGTCGGGCTTTCAAGAGATTAGGTCGGCGGGGAGGTAAAACCTGTAATTTGGTCGTTACCGATCATTTTGGCTTGCCTATCTTGCTCTGTAGTACCGTCATAAGCGTTTCGACATTAAGCTTTGAATGCAAGGGGGTAAAGCACAAGCTGAATTCGTATCGGCCTCCGGGTCGGCAGCAGACGGCGCGAGCTGCATCAGAGTACGCGTGAGTTAGGGTACTATATACTGTCTGCATAGACCGGGGAGGGTGCATAACCATCTGAACTACGGGGTAGCAGAAAATGTTCCAAGTCCATACCTGCTACATGGGAATGGACTCTAAGTGGCTTAGTGGTGAGGTTCCTGGCGAGAACTTCCTGCTGCTCGGGATTGGCTCACCCACCGATAAGCTACCATTATCGGTTCCCAAGCGAACGGATTGTTCCTCTAGGGGGTGGTTAGACATTCCACTATACATAAAACCGCGGCGGGAGCGGATCCGGTAGTTCTTACGCTCGAGGAGCCCCAATACTCTGGGAGATAGAATTGCCTTCTCTATCTAGGGAGCTCGGCGAAACGACCCAGGATGATGCATTTCATTTGGGTAACCCCTTTCCCGGCCGCTCACGGTCAAGTGCTAAATGCAGACCCATCCACTCGGAATGGACAAGCGGAGAGTGGGGCGGCTTCTACACCGAAACTTGCGGCTCTAACATCGCCCAGTCATGAGCTGATGTGCGTCATCTCTCATCTTGGGAATTAAAACGTCCGGTAAGGCCGAAAAGCTAGGTACGGATCCTGATGTCCTTTTAAGGGCTAACGAGTACATATGGGCACATAATTTCACGATCTTCACGCGGCTCACCCACCGTCCCTTCTGCATTAGATCATCCTAAGCCTATCGCAAACATGTGATGTATCGGACGAAAGCACGAAGCTTCTACACTCGAGAATACAAATACCCTACTACCTCCCAGTAATGGTACACATCGGCCGAGGGTGAGGAACAGGGAAGTGAAATGACACGGGCCACTTATATTCTCTCCCATTCTTTCCGTTCTTATGTGACCTTCCGCCTTCAAATTTTTGGAGTTCTTGATATTCCTCGATCGACACTGTTGTTCTGCACCCACATTCACCCATACAAATACATTCTAGAGGAAACAGTCAAAATATCCATTACGAAATTTAGTGTATATACATTAATTGCATTATCTTCAATAAAAAAGATCTATATATGTACACTGAATTACTCCAGTAAACTCAAGAAATCGGAATAGCGATTGACATGATGAAAGTCAATCCCACTACAAAGATAAACGGGAAAACTAAAACCAGTGAAAAACATGGTACACAATAACTGCTTCAACTCAAGGCCAAACAAGCAACAATATAATAAAGAAAACAAGTTCATAAAAACAAAACGAACCACATAATCTTACCTTAAAAAGACCACATTCACATACTTGTTAAAGAAAGTTAATATAACTAACTTATTCAACAAATTAGAATTAAAAACAGAACTGAAACCCTCAATATAATATGCGACACATATAATATGGGGATGCGGATAAAATACAGAACAGGCTAAAATATATGGACAGACGGTTAAAAAATAAAAGACAATACAAGAAACTCATCGACGTTTAAGGACATCGACGGACAAACCAATTACGCGTTTCTCCTAACACAAAACAACTATGAACCATCGACTATACAAACAAGTACAAAACTACTACACAACATTCAGAAAGGACGAAAAATGAATTTATTAACTTAACACATAAATTTAGAAATATATAAAGATAAAACATTCAACACGTAAAAACTCATAAAAACACAAATTAACATAAGCTCACAATATCATTTAAAACAATGTACAAATTAAAAGGAAAAGAACCGATTATCACAAAGATCCTCTGGAACAGTAAAAAACCGGAATTAATCCATCAAACACACCGACCAAGAATAATGCAGTATTACCACATACTGACTATATTATGTCTACGCCACCTTCGACGACCTCATTACTAAAACAATCTACAGAAACCGCACAAACTCAACATTGAAGATGGCGAAATGCCGAAACGCGTATGGCGGACAAAAATCAGCGAGGATAGGCAGACCAAGACCAAACTATCAACCGCAGACCACAGGAGAAAATCCAACAATCTAATATTTAATGATTTAATTTCGATAGCCAAAGTCGATTGGATCTGACCGATTATATATTACTTATATATGTGGCGAAATAAAGTAGATTTGGGTCACAGAAAAGAGGGAAAACAAAGCGGCTGAATAAGATAGAAGAGAGAGGGAGAGAGAGAAAATAAAAGAGAGAGTGTGTATATGTGTGAGAGAGAATATGTGACAGTTGGTTTTCTTTTAAATTGTCCTGACGTGCTGAATTCTGTACTCCAGGGAACGGACAATTCTCAAAGGAGGATTTTCCTTAACTGGATTTTCAAGTTGTACTGGAAGTAGAAGAACAGTGCGTTTACAGATTCAAAACGTTTGCCTCAATGAAATGTTTCAAATTGTTTGGGTGAATCTAGTTGTTAGACTAGCTCAATTGATACTTATTAAACAACATTAGAAATAGACTTGTTTCTGTTTGGTAAAGGTGGATTCTAAGATTATTCCCTTTACTGCCAAAAGAAGTGAAAAGCATAACGTAAAACCAAAATAATGCTGAAACGGAGCAAGAGACGTTTTACTTTTGATGTGATCTCGGTTTGACACCAGCTCGCAGTAAACTAGCTTATATTGTCTCTTTGCCATCTATTGATTTCAAAGTTTCCTTAAAATTAAGTATATCTCTTTGTTTATTCAGAAATCGTGAGATGCGGTCTGGTGTGATAGGTTTCAGAAAAAACATTTTCTTTATCGTGCCACGTTTCAATCTTTATTGAGATCATCTTCAGGGCTTGGGATTTACAAACATTGTTTACATTGAAGAAATACATTTAAGATGTGGAAAAGTGAATTTATACAATGCAAAATATATTGTTTTATATTCAATCAAAGTATTTCTACTCACTGAAAGTGTTTGTCTTCTGTGTAATTGTGCCATTCTTACGTGTCATGTTGAGAGTGCCAGTGAGATTTTGCTGTATATAGTGAGATTTCTGAATAATTATTGATTAAAGGTCACTAATCACCACACATATCTCTTTATGTCGAACTGATAAAAAAATTCTTCTTCCTAATTAATCACACGGCTCAATTAATTTTGCTTAACATATTGGACCCAATAGCATTCTGAGGGGTATTAATTTATCTTGATTATATTAAAATTTCTTCAATAGCGTTTGTTTTAAACTTTTTTGGTTATTCGCTGGGAACTATATCACAAAAAATCAGTTATTCATTTCAGACCACGTGAAATAAACATTTTCTTTTAACATAACTGAATAAATCAATTTACTAACAAATAAAATTTACTTCACGCAAATTGTTTACCCCATTTACTATACATTTGTGCAAATGACTTTTCTATATCAGATTTAAGAATAGTTTTTAATCTAGAAGTATTTCAAAATCTGAAAATGTTTTCTAATCTTCCATTAATTTAAAAAAAATCATGACAAAAGTTGACAGAACTATTAAATATTAATAAACTATATAAATATTAGCAATCTGTAGGGAACATGTCAAGTGTGTCCTGGAATTTCATAGCCAACATTCCTTAATTTATATAAAATCTGTATTGAAACCCGGGGTTGAAAGTTGTCAAGGAAAAGTAGACGACCTTTGCCGTTTTGTCCGGGCTTTTAATTAAATTTGGAGACGTTTGGTCAATTTTTGTGCAATATGTAGAAGAATTGAAAAATATCCGAATCCAAACGTGGACACTATGTTTTGCGAGAGAAAATTTCTATGTTTTTGTGTGTCCGGATCAACATCTTATCTCAAAGGAATTTGGTAGAACCGGTTTTCACCAAATTGAAATGTCGGTCGGTTAAACCATCCCGGCAGTAGTTCTCAGTAATATAATATGTTCACATACATATGCTGTCGTAATTAGCCAGTAACAAATCCTAGAAAGGAATAATAAAGGTACTGGGATATCCGTCATACTTTGCATTTCACAATGGATTTTGTTGTTTTCATTAATACACAATTGGCCATGAATCTCCATTTCGATTGTTTAACTATCTAACTTTTCTAATGAATTGTAAAGTAAGTAAAAAGAGTAATATAATTCCTGTCTTACCCATTGGTGTCGCAGCAAAGGATCGAACGACATTACAATACTTTCTCACTAGCTTTAAATCTAGCGATGATACCATATCGTTTCATAAGATTAAAAAATCATTCCTACAAACACATAAATTGTAAAGATTACAGTTTAAATCAATTAAATGTCAAGAAAGGCGATGACATAATAACAAACCGTAAAATAATCAAGATATCAACATCAAGATGTTGGAATAGGCGCATATTCACTCCAACGGTTGTTATGCCCAAAGTTCCCGATCTTTATCATTAACCGTGGGAAATACTTGACTACGAAATGTCCTCATCTTGCAGGATTATGAAAGGTGATAATGTGCTAGGTCACGACTTATGCCGTCGTTATTTTCTCGGAGGGCACTTGTTGCTCCCCTTTACCAGGATAGGATTTTGTCATACTGACCAATATCAGAGGAGCAGTGGAACCACTTAGGTCCTATAACAATTGAGCAAACTGTTTTTAAGATTGCTTACAGTCGCTTAAATTATTGTGTTGATAACGAAATTGATAAAATCACACATTCAAATCAAACACTGATAATACTGATAGATATAACATGTAAAAACTACAAAACATCATGTAATAATAACAAAGTGGATGGATATGTC